TTCAATATTCTTTTATCTTATTTATTCTTTACTACTTAAATAACGTAGTAAATATTGTTGTTTTAACATACAAATACCAAGTTTTAAATGGTAAATAAAATTCTAGAATTAAGGAATTTTGTCTCTAGATAAGGTGACAAAATAGGAGGTGATAAATGTTTGCACTCAACAACTTCACATACTGTTCTACTGTGAGTTAACACGACCGAGTTAAATCTGTACAAAAGTGTATGACTATCTCTTTTTTGTCAAAGAGAATGAAAGAGATGGCATATTTTCTTATAAAGACTTAGAAGTGTAACACAAAACAATTATTAAAATCAATCGTTAATTCGAAACCAAATCACAACTAATGTTATATTAAACGGTCTTATTAAAATGTCTAGTTGTGTTTATAATTTTATTCGTAAGTTTGATTACTAAGGGATTATTTATTGTTACATTGATGACAATTTCTGTATACAGGAGATAAGAAGTGAGAACTATAGGGCACGGCGCCTGCGCAACTTGGTCGGCTTATATTTAGACCGTTCCACATCCGAACAAAGTTTCGCAATATCCACGTAAGCGGCTGACACCGGCCTTGCCAGTATAACTATTATTTTTCTAGAGTTAAGATATTCATTTCGGCAACGCATCTGCGGTTGCTCTGGTATTGCTGATGTCCATGGTCGTCGTTGAACACCTCGGTGTTCCCGCTGCTCGTTTGCTCCCTTCTGTTATAAAAAAAAATCGTAAATTATTTTTATTAGAAACTAGAAAATATAAACATTTTCATAGTATTGAATACCTTCCTCAGCGAAAAGTTATGATTCCCGTCGTACCATAGGTAGAAAGGCTCTAGAGCTGATACAAACTACTTACAATTTGGTTTTTTAATTTATCACATCCGTATTCAAAGCTTTTAAAGCTCTATCTTGTTAGCAGAGTACATTTCGTTAATTCGCTGTATACGATTGGGTTTTGACTGTAGTGAAACATGTATTATGACATAAAGTCCCCCATATTCTCTTAGACAAAGAGATGTAACGTGTATATGTTTTGTTTCAGGATTGATGCGAGACACACCAGCAGCTTAAAGGCTATAGTAAGAATATGGAAGATGCTGCAATAAAAATTATTATATGGAACTAGTCGGCCGTGTCTCTGTCCTCGAGGAATTAAAAAAAAAACTTAGCAGCCTGTTTGTCAAAATTTCAGAGAGATACAATTAGAAGTTCTAGAGATACGTAATAACATCTACACTTTCTCATTTATGAAAATAAGATTAAAATGACGTAAATTAAAATATGCTTAAGATTGCGAGTTTCATTTTTTTTAAACCTGTAACGTACCAGTTCCCCACGCAGTTTAAAATAGCTGATATTTCCACGAAACATTTTATAAAAGTGTTTATTTTAGCTCGTAACTGTTGGATGAGTCAGTACACTGCGTAGACGATATCTTCCCGCTATATGATTACGTGTCAATCGTCAGTAAGCATTTTCATTCCGAATATCAACATTCATATAATTAATGTTAAGTAATGTGAGTGAATTTATAATACTACTAACTGTCGCTCACGGCTCCGTCCGCGCGATATTAAAAAATAACTTAATAAGTACCCTATGTGTTCTTCCGGACTATGTTCAATGTCTCAAATATTAAGATCCGTTGAGCCGTTCCGGAGATACCTTCTAACATCCATACAAACATTCGTATTTAGCAGTAAGATAGCAATTACGTATCTCAATTCGTCATTAAAGACGCTGCAGTAGACCCACATTAAGGATAACCATAGGTTTTCTTTATATAGGACACTAACGGTCGCCCGCGACTTAGACTGCACAGAATTTTAAAAAAGCAGACTACAATATGCTTGCCTCACCTACCTTCCTGTTCAAGTCTTGTCTAAATCAATCTAGATGTTCAACACTAAACAAAACAGACAGTCAAGAATTGAAATAATTGCTATTTCGTTATCAGATACGCAAATACATCGTGTGTACGAAACATACCTTTTTTGATATTGTATACAAACACTACAGAGCAGAATTTGATTAATATGTATAGATAAGTAAGTAATAAATGTTTTATGAGGGCAATTATTGGTGGTTTTAACCTAGTTTGCCTGAATACTATGAAAATGTTCTTAGCAACGTGCCGGCAAAAACATCTTTGTATTGTAGGGTAGGTTGCCATGACAACCGCCAGGCCGAACAAAGGCTGAGGGGGTGCAACTCGAACGTAGGGAGAATTATCCATTGAAACACTATATTGTGTTATCCTAGAAGCGCCATCTAGTAGCGTTCTAATAAACTACTTCTCAATTGGAGTTTGAGATTATCGCAAGGTTTCACTTTATTACGCAAGATGGCGCTGTTGCCATTTTACATTTTATTTAACAGGACATAATAAACTAGCTGTCGCCTACGACACCATCAGCGCGAAATTTAAATAAATATTGTAGTCTAATTCTTATTTATGCTCTACATCTATGCCACATTTCATCGAGATCCGTTAAGCCGTTTTCCATTTAACTGCATAAGAGACTGTGTTGACCCCAATCGCATAAAGGTTGATGCTACCAAGCGCATATCTAAACGTTCCATCTGATAAGACTCAAAACCGAGAAATAGCTGACTTGCTATTAATATTTTCAAACCTTTGTATTAACTTTGACATGCTATCGCCAGAAATTATTACGAATAAAATAAGTAAGTTTAATCTTACTAATATCATAAATGCAAATGTTTAGATGGATGGATGTTTGAAGGTATCTCCACAATGACTGCATGTATCTCGCTGAAATTCGGCACAGATGTTGAACATAGTCTGGAAGAACAAAAAGACTACTAATTATTTTTTTAATTCCCCGCGGACAGAGTCGCGGGCTACAGTAAGTAATCGATAAATTAATAATGAATCTTTCAGGCGACATTTTAATAATTGTCCCTAAGAATAAACGAATTAATTACTCTATAACCGTTAAAAAGGAAAACGAAAATTGGTAATTATTTAGATAAGCAATTTTATATTTGAACTATTTCGATCACTTATTAGATTCAGCTGTTACTCCAAAGTATTTCATCATCATCAGCTCACTATACGTCTCCACCGAGGGGCTCGGTGCCTACCCTAACTTAAGGGTGATTAGGCCATAGTCAACCACGCTGGCCAAGTGCGGGTTGGTTGACTTTCCTTCACCGCAAGAAGTGCACGTCAAGTGCTTGACCCCAGAGCCACCGACACTCCAAAGTATTTATGATCAGCGAAATAAATTGTCTTATATTTGAGGATGATAAGCATTTTATGTGATTTTATACCTATAACTTCTAAGATTCTGACGTGATAAAATGTGTTTTTGCACGCATTGATAAATGTTGTATGTTAATTTAACTAACAATTTGTTAATAATTTTATAGAAGAATAATTCAGAGCAGTTTAGTAATACAAATATTTAATTATGTTCGTTGAAAAAAGGGGAAAGGATACGACATTTTATATATACTGGAGATACAATTAATATTGCAGACTAGCTGTCGCGCATCCCTCCTTCCGCTTGGAATTTAAAAAAACTTAATAAGTATCCCATGTTGTTCCAGACTATGTTCTACATCTATGCCAAATTTCAGTGTGATCCATTAAGCCGTTTTGGAGATAGATTCAAACAAAATTTAAAAAATATATAAAATCTAGACATTCCATTTACAATATTAGTAAAAAATAAAATATACACAGACAACTACAAAATAACTCATGCCCGTAACCCCGTGGGTTAGGCAGACAGTACGGACTTCCATATAGCGAAGTCTAGTAAGATCCATTATCTATATTTATAGCTTATTCTGATGAGTAAGTAAAGGTTTATTAATATTAATGTGTTAATTATAATGAATAATGGAATTAAAAACAAGCTCACAATTTAAAAGTTTCTTCATACAAGCATGTAAGACGATAGCTGCGCACAAGGGTGTAAAACGAAACCTCTACAATAATAATATACGTCACTGTGTGGGATGAAATAGTTCAAAGCTTTGTCCTGTGAGAGATCTATACAAAAGATCTGTTACCGATAAATTCTGTAATTCGCCCATTTGTAAATTACCTAGGCTAATTGTAAATACATTGCAAATTGCACAGCAAACAATCGACGAACGAATGAAAGATTTTTAAATTGATGTGCGATATTTCGATTATTTTCGTTTCTATTTAAAGATGTTTTTAAGTGTGATTATCATTGCAGCCAATAAAGCAGTGCAACTATCAATGAAATGTACGTTATTTTATGAATTAATTCTTTCAATATGCAATAACCCGAGTCTATGATTTGCCTAGGAATTTTAGAAATGAGCGGAAGCACGTTTTGCCGGCGACATATACAAAAGATCGAAAGCTGGGCGTCAAACGCGTGAATGAATGTCTCCTTTCATCCCGCTTGAGACGCAAGTGCATTAAGAACCCCCACCCCCCGCGGCCACGGGCTTCGCCCCCCGGAGGCTTACCTGCGTCTCTGCCGCTCTATGACGATATAGCCTCAGAGAACCGCTACTGTGTCGTCAAAGATTAACTTATTAGGCTACTTAATGCCTACAACATTTTAAATCGTTTTGTACAGATTCTTCCCTAGATATATTATTTAACCTTAATAATAGTTCCGGGATTTTAATATTATTTATACAATTTACCTTATAAAATTACAAGCATTTGAAAATCACACTTTATTACGCCAATGTATAAACAAAAGAGTAAATGTAGTTCTTGAATTATTGACTAGAAAAATGATTAGCAGTCATTGTACTATGCTAGGGTTAGAGTTAGGTCGACTAGACAGATTTAATATGAATTCTATTATTTATACATTTAGTAATGTTTATATACGTTTATGAAGTGGTATAAATGTAGTGTGTGTCGGTTAAGTGTAGTGTTAGTATTAATTGTCGGATCTACGATGAGTAATCTATGAGCTCGGGCCTTCGCTGTGCGTACGCGCCTTCCAGTCAAACCGTTGTCAGTGGCCATACAAGCTGCGCTTGCGAACCGGAAAGACGTGTGCTTGGAAAGTTTTTATTTCAGTGTATTACGGGACCTGATGTGTTTGTCAAACTGTGACATTTGTTAGCATGTTTGCTTGCGTTTATGTGTGACTGTGGAATAATGTGGAAAGAGGCTATCATCGTGTCGCTGCTGGCGTTAGGCTGCTTTGCAGAGTTTCAGGAGAGAGGTAAGCCTTTAACTTAAATAAGCGCGGCTTGTGCTTATAGTTAACTTAAATGAAGGATTAATTTTACTTAACCTTTTTTTATTTCACGTATTATTTATTAATCTACTTGAACACGTTTACAAAACTACATGTTGGATGCAGTAAAATTGCATCCTGTATGGAATTTTCAAACTTATTCACGTTAGTTTAAAGTCCAAGTTGACTTTTAAGTTTTAAAAACATCATATAACAATCGCTCAAGAAAGTGTGATAGAAGTTTTTAGAATCTTTTTAAATGTAAAAAATCTTTTTACTCAAAATAAAAAATCATCTGTAAAAAAAAAATGTTTCGTGTTAAAATATTTAAATAACGATGTGACTATAAATGATTGAATAACTCATTATAATTATATTTTACAGAACAATAGTTATTGAAATATATGTAGAGATATGTTTTTATTTGCTTCGTAATAATGTGGTCCCACGAAGGATGTAAGCGTGGAGGAGCGTTTAATTGCAAGAAGAATATTTCAAGTATTCCATCGAAGTGCACGAAATGTGTTCTCGGAACCAGTCGGTCTACTCTCGGTCGTTATACGAATAAGATATTAATGCCTTATAACCCGTAACTGTTAAAATTCGGCTTGTCCCGCTAACATCGCCGTGCTTAGCCGATGTTTTATTATAAAGCCTGTTAATACGTTTAACAGAGCATGGTTAGTATAGTAGTACAAAAAATAATCTCACGATACGTCACTGCTTTATGTACAAATTCTGGTGATACTATGAGATTGATAGGACATACTCTTCTTCTTTTCATTTAACGCAGATTGACGATCATAGCAACTTAAACTCTGGACATAGCAACTCGAAATATAGAACGTGTGTTTTTGTTGTACTTTTGCCGCAAATTTTTTAGCCAAGATGTTTACCTTCCTGGGCTACTTTTCCCTTGTAAGTTCTCCTTGATAATAATTTGTAATAATGCATACTATTTTTAAGTATCTTAAGAAGTTGTCGACATACTGAAATAAAGCTGAGCGCTATAATAAATGTTTGAGTCCAACGCATTAAAATTTTGCGTTTTTTCACAAAAATAACAGCAGCAAAAACTTATGTAAAAAATGTTATAAAGCCAATATTTTTTTAGATAATAGCGTGATTTATGATTATTAAAAATTAATTGCTTCCTAGTTTATTTTTTTGTTTATAATCGTCTTAAAGTGACTTAACAAAAACAAAAGACTAGTGTTACTTTCACGTGACAATAATTCTTTTGTATTATTAAGTGTTAAATGCTAGCCAACAATAAGTTGACGGGCTAAGATTATATTCCGATTTTATTGTGCTTATATTTATTGTACACTTTTATTTCCTTGCAATGTAATTACGTCGAAAACATGTCATAGCAACATATAAAAGTATTCAGTTATAGCTCTTAAGGCTTATCCTAAGTGGGAAGCGAATTTATTTCTTTGACTACACCATGCAACTTAAAAAATATAACTGATTTCTGAAAGACATGACAAATATTTGACTATGACCTTTGGCAGATTGATCGCGATGTTAAGTTAGTATTAGTTTAACTTAAGATTAATCTTAAATTGATTAACCTTTTAAAAACCGGGTGAAATTCTGCTCCGTCGTGGGAAGATCACGTCATTGCAGCGTCACGTCGTCACTTCGACGTTGCAATCTCATACCTATATATTGTTTGTGGTCTATGTCACCGATCAATAGTCAAAGTTAGTTTGTACGTAAACATATAAAGAAAATTATAAAATGAATTTAGTCACAATTTCAGACATAATTTCTGTACATTTAGTACACTTTTAAATTCAACAGATTCAAAGCGCTAAAATTTGGACTAATATTTAGCGTTCTTTACTAAGTTTAAGAGAAAGAAGAGAGAGGTTAAGAAATAAAGATGGGTTTAATTTGCTTAAAATAGTTTCATAGACTTAAACTCTTGTAATTCAGGTGCTAAATGCTGACGGCTTTTAATATGCCTAGTCAGATTATAAACTGACAAAACTGCATGCTTCATTTGGTAACAGATACGGGATGGGACAACATTCTGCCATATGTTTATCTATTACGGTATCACTTTGTTACAGTTATTAAACAATGTTGTAAAATAAACACAATTGTTCTGTTTAAATCATTATTGTTTTGAAGTGGCGTCCGGGTTATGTAGAAATACACCTGACGAAAAAGTCCAATAAATGATAACAGAATAAACCTAATGTAAAAATAATCTTAGTGTGGGTTTCTACTGTTTTTAAAGTTCCGTACCTTGAAAAAAAAGACGGAACCCTTATAGGATCACTTTCTTATCCGTCTGTGTAGACAATTTTTCTTAAAAACGCGTGAAGGTAGCAACCTGTAATTTATTTAAAAGTTATACAAGTGTCATAACAGTAGATTTCTAGGGTTATAAAATTAACCGTGTGCGCGGAATTAAAAAAAATAAGTAGTCTATGTTTTCTTCCAGACTATGTTTAACATGTATGCCAAAATTCATCTAGTTGCGTTCAGCCATTCTGTAGATATCTTGAAACATCCATCCATCTAAACATTCGCATTTATATAAGTAAGATTTAAACGTGTTAAAATATTATTTCTTTTAAGTACGTAGAGGAATAATAAGGAAAATCATAAGTGTTTTTATATCTTTTGTGGTAGATAAGTTCTACGAATTGTCTCGAAAATATCGATAAGGTTGCCTTTGCTTGGAATTATGGAATTCATTGATTTTGATGATAGTATATGGTATATGTAAAACCGGCTACACACCTTCATTTTTAACTGCAAAAATTTAACTAAACTTTGGAACTCTTTAGTTAGTTTACCTATATATATTAATTTAAATGTGAATGATTCTTTATAATATTTACAATCAAATATTGATAATAAGTTTAAAGGTAAGCAAAAGCATGCACTGTAGTAAGCGATATTCTCTTAAACCCCTTTTTCACTTGAGGGGCAATTGATTATAGAAATAGCATTTGCGGCCGAAATCGCACGCCTAATGGCTTAAAAAAGTTCTTAAGGTACCTGTATTATCGATGTTGTACTGAATTTAGCAAACATTTCCGCTGATTTAATTTTATAAAATTCTGAAACCTGCCGCATTGCTTCCAATCCCGGATGCTGTTTTAATAGTGTAGTAAGAAAAATTACAAACATCGAGTACATTATGTGGATAGACTAGTTAAGTGAGGTTCGACTCCCTTAAAAAGAAACTAAGGAGAAAGATGCAAGACTCTTACCATATTAGTTGACCGTTTACCTACAATATGGAAACCACCACTTAGAGTACACATAATTAAACTTCTATAAATGTCTGAATTATTAGAAAAATATTAAAAATCAATAAATTGTGATCGGAAAAGAATATTTAAGAGAAAACAGACTTACAAATACACGTAATCTAGTCATATACAAAAAATAATGTATTTACCGTCTTCTATTTTTAAAATTAAGTGTAGGTATATAGTAGTTAACTGAAATATTTGTTATTTATTTATCATTAGCTAAAGTAAATTTAAATGTAAAAAGCGTTAGTAAGTCTTATTTGTAAGGCAACGTTTCTATGTCACCATTTGCGGAGATCTTAAATGCCCCTCGGAACGGAAGAGAAATCAGGAAAAACTAGTGGTTTGAGCAGGTTTTGTACGTACTATGAATATTTATCTTTAAGATAAACAAGCAAAGCAAATGGAATCTAAAACCCTTTTATATAAATGTATCCAAAATATATATTGCAGATTACACTTTTCAAAAATCTTAAATTTTTTATCTTTAAAAATGTTAATAAATAATTAAATCATGGTTTTTAAAAATTTACATGTTTTTGGAATTAATTAAAATTTGATATAACGAATATCCCAATATTTATACACAGAGTTATCCGCCAAACTCATCGCAAAGGTAAAAGTGCTCCATATGTCTATGTAAAAAACAAGTACCCCACTTCCGCTACTTCAATAAAACGGAAGCTAACACGAGTATGTACGTAAAAAAAGTTAAAGTACACCCCATAGTGCATCCCGGTGCTCAACGTGCACAAGTGTTCAAAAGTTTTTATGCGAAGTTCGATTCTCAGTTTTGAACGGATATAGCAACGATGTCGCATCGATACTTCAATGTTTGAGAACGTTTCACACGGAAACATTTTTTAATATTACAATTTTTTACTATACTGCTGTTTTCGATATTTACTTAACTGCAAAGTCCACTAAAGTTAACTATTATTAATTACTGACTCAATTTTACTCGACTATGAGTTTCTGAACCAAATTCCCCGTTTAAAAATGTTATCTTTGTCTTTGAAATTTATGTTTTAAAACGGGAAGTTTTTTAGAAACCCACGATTAATTCTCTCTTTTGTTTACTTAGTTTTTTAATTAATTACTTGTCAGGGAAAATATTATAAATTTACAATTATTTATCAAGCATTTTTAAATGTTGACTTATGACCTACAATTTCTTTCTATAAGTAAACTTGATCTACGGGCAATACAAGGAAGTAATAAAACATGGTTTAATGCGGTTGCAGTTAAACCGCAATATATTACTTTTAGTCTATAATATTTTTTTTAAATTAAGCTAGAATACAAAGGTAAACATAGAAATCATAATTCGGGCTATTTATGACATAAAAATTGTATAATATTGGCAAAAAACATAATATCTTATAAAGGAAACTACTACCACGTCAATATAAAAAAAACAATGTTTGTTTGTGCCCCACGCGTACCCTAACCTCTGGTCAGATTTGAAGGAAATTTTAATTATGAGTTCTGGGTACGCTAAAGAATGTTTTTATGCTAAAAAAAATAAAACATAAAACACATAAATTTAGTACCATATTGAATTAACCTTTTTGGTCCTACTGTTTTAAGAATGGATGTAGATTTCATTTTTAAAACTTTTATGCTGTTACCGTTATTTTTAACGTACAAACCAGAATACAGATGCAAATAACGAACGCCCCATCTCTACCTGCCAATCACTGT